TGAAAAATGTATCTTTGCCATGATTAGTTAGTCTCTCCCATCCCCAGATTTTTTTTATGATACTGATGAAGTAATTAAATCCTTTTCTCATAATACAATATCAGCATCTTTGAAAATAAAGTTGGGTTCTCATTTTCCTATTAATGAACATTGAAATAACATAACTACAGAACTATTCATTGCCTATCCCATTGACATTAATTTAGAATATGAACACGTATATGAAACAAATATTGCTACTGTGTATTGTATTGTATAGTTGTAATATAAAATCTTGTTGAAAGTGCCAATATTGTCTTGGATTTCAGATTGTAGGCATTCCATCACAGATGGAGTTTCATGTCTATTTGTATAGAACATTGCCAGTATGGTTGCAAGAAAAGGGTCCTATTTAGAATACCACTACATGCATCTTCTATTTTACTGCTAAATGAAAAGTATGGTAGAAAATATGGTAAATTTTTTCCCAAAAAAGACATAGAAAACTTGAACATCTTTTAATGATTTTTACCATAAATTGCATGCACCTCCTGTATGCCTAAATAATGTCTATGTGATTATCAACTCTGCATTTTTGACCTACAAATTTTTATATTTGTGGTTGGTTATATTCCTTGTATGTGTGTTTTATGTCCTCTCTCTTATTTAGAATTTTATTTGGTTCAAACTTGTCTTCCCATAATAGTTGTTAGTTATTCAAAGTGTAATGTTTAGGCCTATTTAAATCTTTAATTCTATGTTTTATGTGCTGCCTTTGTTGTCCATTTTTCTCATTATGTAGAGGAATAGGTTTGCTTTGAATAACTAAGATGAAGTAATACATGTGCACTATAACAGTTATTAAATTGAGAAGCATTATACTAGAATGTTCCAGTTAGGAACTTTTTTTACTTTTTTTCTTGAATATTTTATATATCTCTAAGGTTTTGGTTTTCTGCATTCCAAATGCAAGTATGAAGGATATTTTTATTGTTCCATTTATGAATTTTCTAAGATGTCATAGGTTTTAGTAATGGATTGAGATCAGTTTCACAAAATTATTAACAAATAGTTATACTGTACAGCAAAGAAAAAAGCTTATTAGCACATCTAGATATTATTTTTCTTTATATGATATACTTGTTTGTGTCTGTGGTGTGTGTTTGTGTCAACTTCTCAGTTATTGATGTCACAGACTAATATTAGTTTCATGTTTCTTATTATAGATTCCCCCCCCCCATATTGTTTTCGGTATGGGTTTTAGCTATTATTTATTTTTATTGCTATTATATTCATCATCATTATCATCATCATCATTAATATTTAAACTGATTCCAAGTTGGTTACATATTATTTTATAAATTTTATTGCTGTTATTTGTAATGACATTTCTGGTTTGCTTACAGCAATTAGTATTGTTATTATTTATTGTGTTTTTATTGTTATTATTATTATTGTTGTTATTTTATTATTATTATTGTTGTTGTTATTTTATTTTTATTTTTATTATTTTTAGTAATAGTAGTAGTAGTAATTGTAGTATTAGCAGTATTATTATCATCTTTATCATCATTATCATCATCATCATCATTTTAGTATTGGTGTCATCATCATCATCATCATCATCATTGCCATTATTTTTTATATTATCATTATCACCATTGTCATCATTACCATTATACAGATAAATTGGAGTTTTTTGTGTATTTTTGGTATCTTATTTATATTGATGTTCATACTATGTCTTTATTTGTCACTGTTATCATTATTAATGTTATTATTATTATTATTGTTATTATTATTATTATTATTATTATTATTATTATTATTATTATTATTATTATTATTATTATTATTATTATTTATTGTTGTTGTTGTTGTTTGTTATCATTATTATTATTATATTGTTATTATGTTATTATTTATTATTATTGTTATTATTTATTATTATTATTATTATTATTATTATTATTATTGTTATTATTATTATTATTATTATTATTATTATATTATTATTTATTATTATTTTATTATTATTATTATTATTATTATTATTATTATTATTGATTAATTATTTATGTTACAGCTAATGTTATTTTCATTGTTATCTTTAACATCATTATTACTTTTGTTATTGTTATTATTGTTTTCACTATTATTGTTATTGTTATGTTATTAATGTTATTATTATTGTTATTGTTATTATGTATTATTATTGTTATTGTTATTATTGTTATTGTTATTGTTATTGTTATTGTTATTGTTTTGTTATTATTTATTATTATTGTTATTATTATTATTTGTTGTTGTTGTTGTTGTTGTTGTTGTTGTTGTTATTATTATTATTATTATTGTTATTATTGTTATTATTGTTATTGTTGTTATTGTTATTGTTATTACTATGTTATTATTACTATTACTATTACTGCTACTACTGTTACTACTACTATTACTACTACTACTACTAGTATATTTTATTGTCATTATTGTTTTTATTGTTATCATCATCATTATCACTACTGATATTATTATTATCATTGTTGATGTTATAATAATAATAATAATAATTACTATTATCATTGATGTTTGTGTTATTATTGTTGTTGTTATTATTATTGTTGTTATTGTTTTTGTTATTATTATTATTGTTGTTGTTAGCATTTTATTATTATTATTATTATTATTATTATCATCATCTTTATCATTATCATTATCTTTACCATCATTATCATTGTCATCATCATTTTAGACTATTGTTATTCCTGATAACACTAGGTAAATGATATTAGTTTTAACTCTTTAATCCTTTGAGTGCATTAGTAAGTTGTAGTCACTGTTCTGAACTATATTCATGATACCCTTAGAAAACTTTTTCCTGGTTTGCTCAGGTGACGCTGCCAGGAAGGTGGAGAAAATGACAGTTTAACAACAAATGATTAACAGTTATGATTGATATGTATTCAAATTGTATCTTCTTGCACAGTTCATAATTATTTTTTGTTAAAGACAAGTTGAATTTCAGGCTTCATGTTTTTTAAAGATGCTAGGAGTATTTTTGGAAACTCTAAATTGAATTACGTATTTTGAAGCAAGATTACATCACAATCCTTTCCGGTATCTCTACCTGAGCATACAGAATTCATGTTAAATAAATTGGAAATTAAATAACAAAGGGAAAAATAAATTTATGAAGGCCATTTTGCTTTGTTATCCTTAAGAAGTAGTAAAGCAGAAAGGCCTTCGCCATATTCTTGTTTTCTTGTTCAACCCCTTATTTTATTTACATACCTAATGATACTTGAATAATAAGGCACATCCTATACACGCTGAAGAATACCAGAATAAACCTTTTTTGAAAAATAGACATGCTTACAGTGATTTGGCCTTTTTTGTAGAAAGTAAAGAAGGATTTTGTGTGTGTGTGTGTTTTTATCCATTATCACTGGGAATGGCATATACATACATGCCATGCCCACAGTAAGTTTAGTTTATTAATTGTATTTATACATAGATGGCTTCAAATGCGCTTAGTCACCAAGGAGTCCTTGGTGACTGAGGACTTATTGAGCCATCTATGTTTAGATACATTTCACAAAACACTACTACAGTGAACAACATATATTTCCTGTGACATAAGGCTAATTGTTGAAGAGTGTTTATTAAGAATATTTTCCAATACACTGACAGCAATGGCTTTAATATTTTGAGTAATTGCTGTCATATTATTATGCAAAGTTTCTGCACCAGATATAAATTGTAAGAGTGTCAGAACAGTTAGAAGAATGAATATTCTGTCAGAAATGTCTGATAGGGGTATTATATTTATGTACATACATACATACATATATATATATATATATATATATATATATATATATATATATATTATATATATATATATATATATATATTATATATATATATATATATATATATATATATAATATATATATATATATATATATATATATATATATATATATATATATATATATATATATATATATATACATATACACACACATACATATACATTGGGATTGCATTTCATTTGTGAAACAACATTAAAACTTGTAATCTATATTATTTTCATTTTTAATTTTCCAGCAAATCCTAGCCCTGACGGCACCACCAGGAAGTCGTGATCCAAACAGACAGCAGAATAGTAGTTCTGCAGGTCCAGGCAGAGAAGGCCTTGCAGCACACCCATACTTTCGACGGCCAGGTCGTGGCCATAACCACGATTCGTGTGATGCTTGCGGTGAAGGTGGAGATTTGATTTGTTGCGATGTGTGTCCAGCATCTTTTCATCTTACCTGCCAGTGAGTAGTTTGCTTCTGCTTCAGCTTGAAGTATGTACGTTTTGGACAATCTAGAAATTTTTGAATAATTTCTGGTAGTGTATGATAAATATGTATAGTACTGTGGTTCATAAGGTTTTTATGGTTTGCTTTGTTCATGGACTTATTGTGTAACATGTTTTTCAGTGATCCCCCCTTAGAAGAGGAGGAAATCCCAATAGGACAATGGGCGTGTCATCAGTGTAGAGTGTCTGGGGTGAGTTGCTACTGATGAATTTTTAGTTTTTTTGGATGCCTGAAAAATAGTTATGAATAATTTCAGAAATGGATCTGATGCTAGATTAGCATAGATATTGTTAATTATGTTTGGATTATGCCCATATTTGGTCAGTTTCAAAATTATTAACATAGTATAGTATTACTGAAATGGCTGAAGATAAAAAGACTTTGCTAAATCATTTTTTCCTCTCCAAAGCCGGATGACGACAGAACATCAGTGTCAAGTGGCAAGTCAAACAAAAGCTCCAAAGGTGTCAAAAGGAAAGACAAGGAAGATGATAAACCATCATCATCCACTTCAGCCTCAGGGAAGTCAGAGGCAAGCGAGAAGAATGAGAAGAGGGTGTGCGCAGGAGGAAGGGAGTTTGAGATTTCTGACTCCCCCCTGTTTACGCTTATCAAAGCTGCGGCTACTGTGAACCCCAAACAGTTCACCTTGCC